GGCTTTTTTAGGCCTTAAAGGCTACATAAAACTAGACTCTACCTCTCTTGATTGGATTATTGGCCATGTTGCACACTGGAATTAAGAGGAGAAGAACATAGTTTTCTACCAAACCACTGGAGTAAAGAGGAAAAAAAAAAGCGTCACAAAATCAGAGGGTGAAATCGGATGGTTCCTGTGGATCTTACTTGCTTCTAGGACATGGTTTATTTTTTATGTCGCAAGTGTCTGGAAACAGTATCTGTGCTGTAACAACCAGACAGACGTCAAAATCCTTCCTTCACGAAGGGCCTGATACTGGTTTTACCAGGGACCATGATTTCCTGAACCAAAAGAAAGGGCTTCTATTTGAAAAAATTTGCATTAGACTCTGTTCACACGCCCCTTAGGGCAGCTTCTCCGAAAGTCCTGTTTCCCAGTTACGTGAAGGTACCACTGCAGTTGGGCTGATGGGCTCAGCTGGGGCAGCCTGCAGTGGAGCTCAGGGAAACAAGCTAATTGGGCCAAGTAGGCACTTTCAGTAAAATAAAAATTGAGACCTAACTTTGCTTTGGGATATTTATTTACCATCGGGACACAATACATGTGATGAAAGATACCAAAACTGTCATTACTATTATGGAAACAGGGACTCAATACTTGGTAGTGGTCACTGCAGCGCAAAGACATGTTCCGCTGTAATCGGAGCAAGGTGACAAAGGAGCCAACTCGAGATTTTGACAATTTGGGTTTGCTCCACAGCTCTCCCACAGTCTCCCCGTGCAATCTATGCGAAGCGTGTAGTTTCACTTTGCTGCAGCTCCCCATCTGTCTAACGAGGATAATAATACTTCCCATTCGTCTTAGCTATTTAGATGGGAAGCTCTGCTGGTCAGGGACCTATCTCCTCCGACCAGGAGTTTCATACAGAATGAGCATCCTCATCTCAGGGGCTGCCTGCAGGGGATACTGTAATACAGATAATAAATAACACAATCCATCGTGATTTGGTGGCTAGAGATGAGATTCCATGGACTATCCATGGAATAATGACCTTTTCCAGTGCTAAACAGGTATGAAAGGCAGAGAATTTGGGCAATTCAGCCCCTCAAATATAGATCGTAAGCGATTTATGACAACTATCGATGGAAGTCCATAAACTGATTTTCCCAAGTCTGACTCTTAGCTTAACTACCACCTGTTCAGGCCAGGGCCCAGCCCATCAGAACAAAGCTGCCACCTTCTCATTACAGCAGAGCTCGCAGCAGAGGGACCTCTGTTACACAGTCCTGAGCAACAAGAATAGCAGAAATGCCAAAGGAACCTACGTGAGGCAAGGAAGCATTGTTCGCCTGCTTCGCTCATCGATCCGCAGCTACGTTCAGTGCAGGATTATATATGCCAGGTTGTACACTTATTTCAAGAACTGCAAGCTGCTCTCATTTCCCTAGGGAGCTCTAACGGTGGAAAAGTTTATCTTCTTTCATGTTGCAGCTGGAGCAAAGAAGAATCATTACAAATACCCGTTCTTTGTTCACTGATAGAATGACAGCGGCACAGCTCACCCTGTGTGTTTTTGCAGAATGCATGCGATGGTTGAGGTTTTCTTTTTTCTCCACACTGTTTTCATTTTTTCTAGTCCTCTGAATGTACAGAAATAGGAATGGACCGGTTTCATAACAGATTAATGGGGCTCGTCCTGGCTATGCATCACCACTGAGTAAAGAATGTCGGCCGACTCCTCAGCTGGTGGACACCAGGTAAGGCATTTCGAGTCAGTAAAACTCACAATCAATGACCTCTCTTCTGAGAGCTAACTGGGATCAGTCCTGAGTACTGCACACAGTTATTCAAAAATCTCATTTACAAATTAAACTTCTCTTCTGCTTTTGACCTCCTTTCTCCATGTGTCCTCTGCTGCTTAAAACAGCTCATCTGTCCTCCCTCCTTTCACCAGCCGTGGCGAGTGCAATTACGTGGCTGTATTACGTATCTGTATTACGTGGCTGGTAAGCAATTACCAGCATTTAGTTATTCAAAAATCTCATTTACAAATTAAACTTCTCTTCTGCTTTTGACCTCCTTTCTCCATGTGTCCTCTGCTGCTTAAAACAGCTCATCTGTCCTCCCTCCTTTCACCAGCCGTGGTGAGCGCCAGAGGTAAGCAATTATCAGCATTTACACCTAATACCACAGCAGCCCGATACCAGAGGGCTTACAAGGTTTGCTCTGACAACTCCATACAAATGTTGTATTGGGAGAACACAGAGATACCAGATCCGACTCTCATCTGCTCTGCAACCCAGTGTATGAAACACAAACAGATTGAAATGTCTCTTCAATGCTGTTCATTTCTTACTGACTCAGGCAAGCTCCTCAGGAAACCTCACCCTCCATCCCATCAGCAAACAGCAGCACCGCTCACAAGGCAAGATCATACACAAACATCCCGCGGTGCCCAACACCGCAGAAAAATCTGCTCCTCCGACATGGGTGGGTTGAGCTAGTAGTTCTTCCAGTTCCCCCTCAGTCCATCCTAGGATCCCAGCGGTGTTCAGGGCCTCCTGCAATACCTCCAGTGTCTTCCTCAAACCATCCATCCCAGCACACTGTCCCAACTGCCCCCTTCCCCAACTTCCAACTACCACACCTTTTCCTCTTTCTTCTAGTTTCAGGAAGCACAACAAAGCCATGGGCTAAGTGGTGGCCTGGGAGGCACAGCACAGAGTGTAAGGACTTGATCCTGTGGTGGCTGTTAAACACAGTGCGTGGCATCTACATGGAAGGTTTCCAACCCTTAGTAGCCCTCCCTTTACAACTTAGATGGTAACTCCTAGCACATCCGAGCCACAGTGAAACAGTCCTCTGAAAAAGCAGTAAGAGAAGGGGCATTCTCAGGGATGAGTAACAAAAACCAAAGGTATTTTGGGAAGAGGTTATTTTCATTTTGGCAGAACACAGTGTCAGGAACACTTGTGAAACAAGAAAAGGATGAAGAGATGTAGCAACTGCACAGCCTAAGAACAGCCTTGGCTTCATACTCAGTAAATTCTTTCATTCAAGCATGTATTTTGCTATCTGTGTTACTTAGAAAAATGGGAGGTGGCCAAAACCGAATGCCTCGGCCCTGAACTTCAAAGCAGTGTTTAAAACACTGGCCAAATAGAACCAGTTTGTTAAAGGAGAGACTAAGAACAAGCCTACGTGATAGGCTCCCAGAAACAGAATCTTCTACCACCATCCATTCCCCTTCCAAACAGACAGACTCGACAGAAGAACTCACAGGAGCTCACAAATCTCCCTGCTATTTAATCAGGGTAAGTAAATACCAATGCATGTTGTGGAAAGCTACTCGAGACTAAAAAAAACCCCAAATGTAACACTGACTAATGAAACTTTATTTCAGCCCTCTGTAGTTGGGCTCATTCAGAATTAAAGTAGGTGTAATCAGCTCTAACATAACTCAGTTTTGAAGAAAATTGAGTAAAACAGAAGTCATGCTGAATAGCTACAGTACACAGAGGTCACCAATAGGCAGACAAAGCAAAACACTAGTACCAAATCAGATCACGCTTCCCAGCTCTCCCATGCAAAGAGTTCCTAAATGAATTTGGATTCCTTTACATTACTTAATTCGATCCATCGAGTACAGCCCTTACATTGTGCATCGAAGGGCATTAGACTCCGAGTACTGTGCAGGTGTGTTAGGAGAAGCAGCACCCACAAAAGCTTGTATCCCCCTCCCCAGGGGTTGCCTGAGCACATCCACGCTGGCTGCGGCAAGGAGAGCTGATCGAGGGAGACTCTGGCCTTGCCAGAAGGAGACACGAGAGCCAACAAACCAGGTAAAGAGGCTGAAACTCTGCCAGTATCAAGACTGACTGCCCAATCCGGACACGTATGACACCGCTCATCGCTGGTCATGCCTGAGCTAGGACTTGAATCAAAAAAACACAAAAGAGGTGATTAATTTTGCACCCTGTAGACTCCTGCTGCATTGGCATTGAAGCTATAATCCACTAATTACAGCTGCCTGGCCAGACAGTTCCTCTACAAAGTGGGAATTTTGTAAGATTGTTAAAATTGTCAGAGACTTTCAGTCTCAGATTCTGACTTCAGCCTTCTCAGTGTAAATTGCCATTCTCAAAATTGCCTTAATTTCCACTTACATTTCATTTATTTCATTTTAGTTTCAAGCCACCTACATCCTAAATAGTCTTTACTAGCCCAGACTGACTAGTCCTGACTTTTACTGGTTAAAAATCAGCAGAAACAGCCAATTAAGACAGGAGGCTGGAAAGGGTCCTCTGCTGAGGCTTGGAATCTCACAGTAACTTCTTCACAATGGTTCCTACCTACATTGATCTTTCTGCCCAGGACTTCAGATCATCAGTCCTCCCAGGGTACATATTTGCAATAGGTGCCAAAGCTGAGTAACAAGTAATTCAAGGATACACTGGAAAAAAAAAAAGCCTTCACAAGCCTCACCCTCTTCTCTGAAGAGTACAAGGAAACTCACCCCACCACTAACCAATCCCTTCTTGCAGGTCTCATCCCACAAAAGCACGATCAGGACTGATCTAGCAGCTCCTTAGAGTTATCAAAGACTGATTCAGACCTGACTCCATGTCCAGTGAGCCACTTCTGTCGAAGGAGAGGGCACTGAGCACCAACACCTGAAGACACTTAAAACACTGCAACAGCGTAGCGCCTTCATACTCACACTCAGCAGGAGGCACTTGTTTTCTTTGATGGCGCCTATGCAGCCCACGAAGCCAATGATCATGACGAACGTCCCCGTAACGATCAGTAGGTTGGCAGCTGACAGGGACGGGAAAGAAGAGGAGAGGGTGGCAAAGTTCCCTTGGGTAACAGCCAGCCAGATGCCTACTCCAAGGATTCCACAGCCTCCCAACTGGAAAAATAAAGAGAAACAAAGACATTCAGTTATTGCATCCAAACAATCCCAGGTATAAATCCATTACCAATACGGCAGCAGGAGAATGTGATTGCTGAGGTAAACCAGCAGTCACACCTCACCAGAAATGATCTCTCCCTATGGCACTTTCAGCAGGGAAAACAGACTAAGAAGAAAGAAAAAAAATATAATGTAGAGGGGGAACTCTTCAGTGAGATGTAACTCTCCAGAAAAAGTCCCAGATATCTTAAATGCAAGACACAACTTCCAATAGAAAGTCTCTTCCTCTCTAGTGAAAAAGCAAACACCGAGTAAAGGAGAAATTCTCCAACATTCAGGTCTCAGAGGGACTGAAAAGAAACCACATCCTATTTAGGTACCTCAGAGAGTTTCCCAGAATGGCTGAAGCATTTTGGATGCCCTGTTCTTCCCATCCCAACACACCACCTGCCCTCCCTGGCATCTGCCATCAATAAATCTTGCCAGAGTCTCCCCTGGTAGGACACCTCACACTTCTTTTTAGTTCGTGTCCAAGGCCTCGGCAGCAAGAGAGTGTTGAGAATGTAAAGACCAGAAAAGGAGGGAGAACAGGTCATAACATAAAAAAAACCCCAAACCGATGTCTACTCCTAATGTGGCCACTGGTTTGGTCATTCGGTCCTCAGAAAAGAATTTGGCTGGTTTAGGAAAAGTTTGGGAGAGAAGCAGGAGCGCATTCCCCCTCTCCCCGCCCTCCAGCGTGTGAGCAAGGAGAAGGGAGGATGCCAGAACAGGCAGCAGTCACCACGAAACCATAAAATCTACAATTATTATATACACAGGAACTTTTAAAAAACACAAACATTTATAAGCATGCTGCTTATAATTACGAGAAAGCCCGCAGAATTGTAACAATCTGAGTAAAGCTGAGCAATTAAATAGAATTGAACCAAAGGGGATTTTGCATTATTATACAGTCACACAGCAGAGCATCACTTAGGTCTCTTTTTCTCCTGCTCTCCCTTCAAAATAACCAATTTTTACTGAGTTTTATAATTGCACTTTATTATCCGAATCAATTAAAGGCTAGGGAAGAAATTGTGCTCACAGAGTAGGAAGCCAGCCATAGGAGCATATCAATTAAATGTCTGCATAAAGTGGATGAACATAAGGCAGCTCCTGAACCAGGGAAGGAAAAGGAGACAGAGCTAATCCTGGGGCAGAGCTAAGCCTCAGAAATCGAACACAGGAGAGAAACACAAAAGGCAAAGCAATTTTTTTTACACTAATTGCTAAGGTTGCCTCTGCCTGTCCCCGAATTCCCCCTCGCTAAGGGACAACAGAGGCAGGACTCCTCCCTCCAGCTGCAAACCAGTCTGGTTTGCTCCGATCTAAGGCGCCAAACTGGCTCTCACTGTAAGGTACCCCCGAGAGAAGGCAGGCTCCGGGGACTCAAACCATCGCATTCGGCAGCTTCTTCACACACAGGCATCGCACACCGTCACGCCCACCCCTGGGCAAGGTGCCCTCCGCCAGCCCCACGGAGGGACAGTCCGTGCCCTGATCACACGCACCGGGTATTTCTCGTCCTCTATGCCCACTTACGGATCGTGACCTTTACGGTGGTTTAAAAGGATTGAAGAATAACCAGGGGAGGGGGGAAGAATACTTAAAGAAGGTAACCCAGAGAAAAACAGTCAGGGTCATTGATCCTGCTCTGGGAGGGGGGTTGGATGATCTTTTGAGGTTCCTACCAACTCCCAACATTCCGTGATTCTGTGATTGAGGGGACAGAAACAAAAGCTCTTAGCATGTCCCAAGGAAACTGTTTGTGGGCTGGGAGGCGGCTCTCACCAAGGATGCTGCTGTGTTCAGGAAAGGCAAGAGCTGCTTGTCTGCTCCTCCACTGCCCATTAAATTCTTTCCAATACACATGGCATAATGCTCGGGACATTGTTGCCCTTGGGACATTTGATTCCAGCGCCTTCTCCCTCCAAAGTCATTCCTGTCTGCGGAAACTAGGAACTCACCAGTGGCACAACACATCCCAAATCCAGGCGAAACGCTGTGACTATGGCTGTAGCCATTTCGATCAGGGCTGAGTATTTTAGGTCAGCAGGAGCAGCTCACTACGTTGCCTTTGATTCAGAGATGCTCCAGCATACATCGGGCTCTCTAGCAGCTCATTACCTTCCTGTTTTTGAAGAGATAATGCACAGCTCTTCCCCAGGTTGATTAACCAAACCCTGAAATGCACAAAGGGATCCTCTGAGCATTAAACTATTGGGCTCAAACTGGATTTCACAAAGTGCTGCCTAGGACCTGCCAGCACACGCTGCTGAGGGCTGCTCCACCTGAGCTCAGCCCTGTTCCTTTTCCCACACCCCTAAATCTCCTGCACGACACTCAAGCACCTGGTTAAGGAAATACTTAAGGGAACCAAGACCCACCAAAGTGAGCCACAGGAACCTTTCCAACAACAGCAGACTATTTGCTGTTCCCAAACACTCAAAAGGCGGAACAGCAGCATAATTCCCAGCCCAAGATCCAGGGATCGGAGGGATCATGTTTACTTATTCTGGATGAGAGCAAAGAGAAAACCGTTGTAGCCTGTTTCAATTTCTCTGTCTTGGTGTTTAAGGAGCTACTAAGTTACAGTTACTTAGTTATTTATGACATTCCCTTTCCTCCACTTTTTCTCTTCTTACCCCATCGCCAACCCCCAGTCCTTGTTTGTGCCAAACAGTCAGCAGCAAATGAGACGGTAAGTTCTGACAGCTTGCAGGGCTTGCCGAGATGTGAAATTAAACAAAAAGAAAACCATTAATATGGCTACTGTTGACAATTCAGGTGCTTCCATGCAAACAGTGAAGTTGTCGTGGTTAAAAGAGAAAATCCTGAACTAAAAAGCTTGAACCTGATCTATTGGCAGCCAAATATGAGCCTATATTGATTCCATATGGTGAGTGCAGGGCTGACTTTTTAAAAAAGAGTAACCCAGATCCTCCTCAAAGATGTCAAGCTACTAACAAAAGTATTTCTTTTAATTCCCTTGTGAAACGTTTACCGTGTTATTTCCCTAACGGTTCATGAGAATCCACTCTCGTGCAAGTAAGGCAGGCCATGGCAAAACCTGAAACTCAACACAGCTTCCTCTAACATTTTTTTTTCTCCAAGACATTGTTATGTATTTTTCGGAAATCTTTTCTTTTAAGGCCAAACCTGCAGGTCAGCAGAAGAGGCCAACTCACAGCCCTAAGACTAAGGAGATTTAGGTAAACTGTCTGTTCCAGGACATGCTGGAGTGTAAATCTCAGATCGGCTCTTCAGTACATTTGTGGCCACGGTACAAAACCCTGAGCACAAAGACACAAGCGGAGGGTACTTCGCAACTCCTGGACTTTGCAACCAGCTGTGGAAGAAGCAGTTTCTCCTGCTCAAGACAAATTGCTCGCACGCATTTATACAGCGGAGTCGAGCAGCGAAGCGAGCGGCTTACTCCAAAAGCACAGATTCAACCTGTCTCTCCTTCCCCAAGAGACACACAGACACGTGCGTGCTCACTCTCTTGCCAGAAAAGCCGCCTACGGAATTAGATCCTCCAAATTGTTCTAATGGGCTAGGAAATAAATTATTCAGCCTTCGGTGCATACGCTTAGAACTGATCTTACAGTATGGTAAACAAAGTAATCCCGAACAGCCTCAGATATACGCGTGTTGCTGGAGGAAGTTATTCTGAAGTTACAGCCATGCACTTAAAATACTGCAGGAGAAACTGCCTCATTGTTCATGATAATGGTGTTGGTGTCTTTAAGTGGGTTTTTTATTGGCTTTATTACACGGAAAATCCATCTAATCGAGGTTACTCATATTGTATCCTATTAGGACCTACCAGTCATACTCCTCTTTTAGATAACAAAAATTGCTGGTGGATTCAAACATACACCGGTAACAGAATCCAAGTGGGAGGTACGACTAGTAGTTTTGTAGTTAAACTCGCTCACTTGGAGGGGTTTTTCTCCCCGGTCTCCACCTCTTTACAGCAGAAGAGCTTTCTCAATCCCACTTGCAGATGCCACCACACAGGTGGACACTTTAGCAGAGCTCACTACACTAGTAGTATCACCTCAGTGTAGCACAAGTTGCATTTCTGTTGCCAGTCAGAGGCCTGAAATTTAACAAAGGTGGGTAGAAATTTAACAAAGAAAGGGTGGTATAACATCTAGTCCCTTGGATTTTAGGAATTTAAATGTAGAACTGAAGCACATTTCTACCCTTGGTGCACTGAGGCTTTAGGACTCTGCAGCGCAGAGCTGAAGGAGACAGAATTGCTGAGATTGAAAAAGACCTTTAAGATCATCGAGTCCCATTGGTACACGCAAATCTCAGCCAAAATGGTCACAATCTGAGTGTGTCCCTCTAGCAACAATTTAGAGGGAACTAGGGGAAAAATACTTGAAAAAAGATTAGTAGGAACGGCATTGGCGAGAGCGAAGAGGCAGGAACAGCAGCAGTCCATAAATGCCAACACGGAATGCGGAAGGTGAATAGAAGATCATAATTCATTTTTCTTGAGATAAAATAAAGCTAGAGGTTATTTGGTCTGCAGGTTGAAAAGCAATAAAAGCAGGTACTTTTCACAAAACATTTCATTAAATTCTGGAATTCATTGCCAAAGAGTCTTGTGGATGTCAAAATATAAGCAGGTTCAAAAAGGGATTACACAGATCAGATGAGGGCAAGATATTCTAGCATTTATCAAAAATTATATTTTGCATGCAGCCCTTGCAGGGGAAGACCTTAAACCATTAATTGGAGCAGCTGGTAAAAATGTCCTTTTCTAATGTTCTCTCTAAGCATCCCTGAGCAACCATGACCAAAAATAGGGTACTCAGCTAGAGGAAACTTTTTCTACATTACGGGCATTTGTACATTGTCCTTACTTCACCCTCTTCCCCTCCCTAGTTTTAATGTTCACTTACCATTTGAATTTTTAATTTATTTTTTTTTTGCTTGCTTCCTTTGCTTGGCATCGGCCTATTTTCAGAGACAGGGTTAAAGGTACAGACAATAATCCAAGAGTACTTTCCACCCCACACGTCTCTAGCACCTTGACTGTCAGGCTGGCTGTGTCAGCACAGGCCCCTGAAGGAGTCTTTTCAGTGAAGAAAACAACGAAGGGCAGAAAAGTCTCCAGGAATCTACTGAGTGCTGGGACAGAGCTCAGAAGTCTGTTGAGACTTGGCATTTCAACAGTGGGGTACCTAATGAGAAGGAAGAAAAGAGAAGGGAAAAAAAAGAGAAAACAAACCCAAGCCTGCAGTCTGCAAAGCTCCTCCGTAAAAGGGAACAACTCAGAGCTCCTCATCTACTTCAGCGGGGCTCCCGGTCACAGTGCTGCTCAGGCACACACACCCGGGCTCGGCTCCACCCAGCAGACAGACATCATGCCCCAGAAATTGCACAGCTCAGACAGCTGCTGCTCTACACCCAACGCTTTCCTTCGGAACAAAATCTCACTGCGGTACAGTCCCTGAAGCCAAAATTTTATTTTGTTCTGGTGTCATTTAGTTCCACTTTCAAACTCCTTCACTAATACCTCTATGACTGACAGGCAGAGGCTTTAAGAGCAGGCAGCTGAGCAAAGCACAGAGCATTTCAGCTGCCAGCCTCTTCAGCTCCGTGTATCAGCAGCGAAAAATTTAAAGCTCTACCAAGCCAGTTGTTTGGGCTTGCAAATTTTCATTTTGCTAAAAAATTACTTTCAAATGCAAAAACCTCATCTTGCAAAGACGCACGCAAGATGATCTTACATGTAGGCAAGCAGCAGGCAGGTGCCTGCAGGGGTTGCAGGCCTACGGGTCCCACTGATGTCAACCAGCAAGAGCTGAGGAACAGCGGCCAAGGATCAGGCCCGAGTGTCGTGCTAGATTTTTCTTATGAATTCGTTACCATGCTGCCTGCCTCTCCTTTGCAAACCACCGAGGCATCTCCTTTACAAGCCACACGTGCAACACAATGCAGAGCGCTTGACAGCATGTCAGAATAGATGCGTTGCCCTGTCTTCCACAGAAGGGATCTTGAACCCAATACCCTGCATGACAGGCAAGCAACTGCTACGCACACACAGGTAGCCACGGGCTACAAGACGAACTCGTGTTCTGCCTGCCAGCGTGACATCCCGGGCTTCGTACCCTCACTGCCCTCTGGCTGCCCTATAGTCTTGTCACAGGTCCAAAAAACCACACTTCAGTAGCTCCTGTTGTCGCTTTCCTTCCTTTTAGACACTTCTCTCCTACAAACACGCTTTGGGTTAGGATATTCCACCCTGAGTGTGAGCCTAACAAATACCAAGGGTGTTTTTATCGAGCCCAGAAAGTCCACCAACAGGACTTCAGAGCCCTGTGTGGGCAAAGAAGGGCGTTCATTTTCATACTGTCAATAATGGAAATGTAGAAAATGCTACTTTTTCAGTCACCCTGCTGAGGCTTGAGCCTGAAGAGCTTAAGCCTTAAGAAATCCATTATTCTTTCCCAGTTGAGTTCCACCACTCAATTGCAGTCTCATACAACTAAAGTAAATTTGGGACAATTGAAGATGTCAAAAGACAGAATATCATGCTGACACCCCGCTAATGGAACAGTGAATAAAAAGTCATTCAGCTAATCCCTGCTGTTCCATGAGTAGTATTCTCCCACGTACTTGCTCCTCTAAATCATAGTTCTCTATCAACTACAGTTACAGAAGAATGGAACTACCACATTTATGAGTTAATGCACTCAGTCAAAAAGGGATGCTTTCCTTTCATGGGCTCAAAATTCATTGAAACACCTAAAACGTGTGCTCAGTCGCATCCTTATCCAGCAAAGCGTTTAGAGCACGAATTTAATTGCCACTGGCTTAAATTAGTCACTTTGGTAGTGCACTCAATTGCCCCGTATTGCAAAGTCGTCACTGAGGATGCAAAAATTTGCAGAACTGGAACAGGTGAGGATGACCTACAGAGGCAGCACTGCTGATAAAAGATTACACACGATCATGGAATATTCAAGAACGGTGATTCTCAGTGTCGTTGGGAAACTTGCCA